AAATTGGAACGAGCAATTAAAAGAGGAAGTATTATATGACAAAAAGTGGAATTGGAATCGTGTAACTCCTGAAATTCGGAGAAAACGAGCATGACTGACTGTCACTTGGCCTTTTATGATTTTGATTATTTTTTCACCATTTCTTTGTTTCCAAGATGGACAGAGGATGGGCAATTCGTATAAAACTTTTGACTGCAAATGTTTTTTGGGTCTCTGCTAGTACATAATAGTACATCAACTTTTAATGTATATACTGGATCGGGCTTAGCCTAGTGGTAAGCGAGGCATATTTGTGAATCTAAAGTTTCATAGTTCGTGTTCTTTTGCTGGAAAATCGCACTCCGCACTTAGGAGCATTAGGTGTCAAAGCGCAGTATTCAGTCAGACAAGAGTTGTCCGAGAGTGAGCGGTGGGTGCTTTTGACTACATGCTTTACCTGTATTCTGTCAGTTAAAGATTAGGGACGATTATGTGCAGATAGACGTTTGTGCAAAGTTTTGAAACGATTTTGTAAAGTTTTGATCCATGTGCAGGAAAGTGATTAAAGTTTCATTCCGTACCCAGTGAAAATCTCCTTTTTATTTCGGACTTGCATAATTTTTACAATAAATACACAGATAATGACACCAGCAATAGTTTGATTATAATAAAAAAGCACTATTTTAAAAACTAACTTCATGTTAACTCCACCATTCATATGTTTCAGTCTTAGTTGATATGTATTTCGTCATAGAATATTACCCATAATTCACAGATAGTGGAAAGCTCTTTAACTTGTTATTACTTTTATAAAACAGTTTCACTAATACCGTAACGGCCCTATTATAAGGCGATGTTTTTTTATTAATAATTAGGCTGTAAAATTCATAGTCACCTTATAATCGCGGCCGACCACAGGCCCCCCTTCTCCCTCTTCTAGCCTGTCGCATTCCTGGATGTCCAGATAGCACCCGTCTACGCATGCGCGCCAGATGTTCGCTCAAGGTCATTGCTAATTCTTTATTCTCCTGAAGAAGAATAGTGAACTATTCTAAAGCGCTCGAGTTTTGGATCTCGTTTGAAAATCATTACAACTTTTGTATGTGATCCTGTGTGCTAATTTCTTATTCAGAAGAGCTAATTCTTGCAGCTAATCCACCTGCAGGCTGTTCAGTTATAGTATTGATTTTTTGGACCTAGAAAGATACGTTATGACACTCAATATTATTCCTTCCCAGGGAGCCCCCTCAGTGGCACAACAGTATGTCTGTGGACGTACAATGCTATAAACCGGATTTCGATACCCGTGGTGGGCAGAGCACAGATAGCCCACTTGTGTGGCTTTGCACTTAACTACAAACTAACTTCCCCATGGTTTCTGAAAATGGGGTCGCCATATACACAAGATCGCCCTATAATCGGACCAAACGGTACTTTATTCTAGTAGCTCTTACAAATTTTATTTTAGTACACAATTCGGTTCAGATCAGCTTAGTCAAAAAGGGATCCTATTGGTTTCTCATAAAACGAAGAGTTAAACAATAGGTAATCATTGCTGTATGAATAATATTTCGAGTGAAATCTTTGCTTTTGATAGTTTCAACTCTTAATGATATCAAATAATATGAGCTGTTACATTATTATTATTGATTCTTTTTACCCACTGTTTTATTATTATTATTATTTACATAGTATTTTGCATGGTATTTTCCCCACATAGTCTCAAAATCTTAATGCATTAGATTGACGGCGTTTGTGCATATTTTCAATAAAACAAAATCATGACACCAACGTTTCGTTTCTTTGAAGATGGTGGATGAAGTTGTTCACCGAAACATGTAGATCGTGCTTGTTTTTTTTTTAAATTTTATACAAATTTATTGTGCACGTGAAACGATGGTGTCGTGATTTTTATTTTCATCTCAAAATCTTGCCAAAATAGGCTTACGTAAGTACAAACAATTGTAAGACAGTGTTAGATGATAATGTACAATAAAGACTTAAAGCGAAACAAGTGGAATCCGACATTTTCCCCACATTTCTTCTGGTTACAATGATAAACTTGCAGAAAATACATATTGAAAAGAGGTACAGTTGCAGAAATACATTTCGAAGCTCGTTTTGAAGACAAAAGAAATGTATATATATATCTGTTCTACATTAACTTACTTCAAAGCTGTTTTCTTCTAAATTCTGCAACCAACTAAATATCATCATGTTACGTTCATATTTGGTTAGTGGCCTTCCCTTCTCCTTGTCTATATCTTTAACTGTGAGGGTGACATTCCTATTAGGTCCTCTGATGCCAAATGATGGGATTTGGACCTCGCTGGGTACACAATGATCAAGGTCTGTGGATATTTGTACTTGAGGAACTCCAGTAGTTGTATCTTGTTGATGGGATTTATTTAAGAGATTGATCTCGCTATGTGTTAACCTCTCTAAAGCTTTGTATGTGGATAAAACCCTCCGCCGAATATACCTTTGTCTAACCTTCTTATTGACAGAACGGATCATCTCGGCTGGAGTAATGACGGGATAAGTAGCTCCGCCAAGTGAGAGTTGAGGTTGTGGTGAAGCCATGTAAGAAGACGAGGCCACATCACCGACAGCAACCCAAGTGGACAAGGAACGAGAAGCGGGATCCAAACGTGTACTGGAAAACACGAATTGTCCCCAGTCACAAAGAGCGATCTCCGACGTACTTGGTCGTAGGGATTCATTTTCTTCTGATGTAACATGTGCTATATCCGTGGTGCTAAAACTCTTCATCAGACCCAAAAGGGATGAAAGTGCCCCGCAATTACGGATCGCCTCAGACTCTTCTTCGAAAAGCACTTCCCCTGATATTGTTCTCTTTGTGACAGGTCTATGCTTCTCCGAAGGAACTTGAAGTAAACAACCTCTGGCTCCTCGACTACTTCTAGCCCCTGAACGCCCCCACATCATCTCTGCAGGTTGAGGACTTTGTCTTAGTGACTCATCAGGTCCTTCGCCGTTTCTTGAATTTCTCATTAAACCGCTCCTCATTCGGCTTACCTCAGAACCAAGACTAGACAAAGACATTAGAGACAAATCCGTGGCAAAGGAATCACGGCTTGGAGAGCGTGGCACCACAGTTGAGACAGTGGTGGGCTGAGGAAGGTTGCCCGTGTTGGAGTTGCTCATTGCTAACAAGCATGTATTATAGTGGCAGCACTTAACTCTGTCGATTATCACTTCAAATCTTGAGAACTTTTGATGCTATGTAAGAAAAAAAAAAAAGAAGAATTGATAAAAGACTATTACAGCGTGAATAAAAACACGTTATCGGTGAAATTCATTTACGTATATTACGTTAAAATTCACTTGGCTCTAATCTAGATCCATTTATTTATTTAAAACATCTAATTCAAACATATTTCTATTTATTAGATCAGGGATGTCCAACTGATGTGCTGCTGGTGGGTGTCATGGTATTTTGAGTGCAGTGTTACGGGCCGAACACTAATTAGCGACAATAAGAACATATTAAGGGCTGTTGCTATTAATTAAATGTGACAGTCAAATATACCAAAAATAAGCTTTATTTCTCGCTTCATTTTTTTTTTTTTTTAGTGACTGATTTTTACATTTTTGACCGGTGGTTAGTGACTTGGTCAGTTATACAGCTCAAACTGCTGTGTAATGTGATAAGTTCAAATTCTACAAGAACACTCAGTAACAAACCAAGCTGGTTGTTTCCAGTCTGGTTTGTTTGTTTTTGAGTTTCGCGCAAAGCTACATGAGGGCTATCTGCGCTAGCCGTTCCTATTTTAGTAGTGTAAGACTAGAGGGAAAGCAGCTAGTCATCACCACCCACCGCCAACTCTTAGGCTCCTCTTTTCCCAAGAATAGTGGGATTGACCGTAACATTAAAACGCCCCCCACGACTGAAAGAGCGAGCATGTTTGGTGGGACGGAAATTCGAACCCGCGACCCTCAGATTGGGAGTCGAGCGCCCTAACCACCTGGCCATGCCTTGCCTCTCAGGGGAAAGGGGACGACTCTCGAGTTTCTCTTCCAAAGTTAATAGAAATTGTTTCAGCCAGTTCCCCACAACAACTTATGACACCAGATAGACGGACGGACGGACAACTTTGCTTTCTTTGTAGATAGATAATTACTTTGAACGCAGTATTATAATAACTACATCGAAGGCGTATATTTCGTACCTGTTTAAGTCTTGTGTTCGGGTTGAATAAACCGTATCAGTCATGGCTATAATAGTTTATTTATTTTTAGCCTGATCGTGTTAATTTTTATGATAATCTAACAAGAATATTAAAGAAAAACCTAAATAAATTCTAGATTCAGATTACTCTTTCTTTGCCTCCCACCCACCCCGTTGGCTCAGCATTGTTTATGGCAGTTATTTTGGCCAAACATGCTCGCCCTTTCAGCCCTGGGGGCGTTATAATGTGACGGTCAATTCCACTATTCGTTGGTAAAAGAGTAGCTCA